TGATGTGCTGTTCCAGTCGTTTTTGGATAATCTTCAGTAAAATCTTGCTTGCATGTGAAATCAGTGAAATTGTTCTGTAATAAATAAGTAAATTAGTAGGCATTGCTTCCTAGTTCGTCTTAGGGAGATCCACTGAAAACTGATTAGCATCTTCTGACTGACCCTCAACTCATTGCCATTTAGTCAATTCTGACTCCTGATAACTCCCATAATTACAGAGCAGAACTCTATCTGTATGGAATTGTCTTAGCTATAATCTTAGCACAACACTTCACCACACCTTCTTCTGAAGAGCTACTCAGTGAGTTCCTGCCACTATCCATCCGGTTAATACAAACCATTCGTGCCACCCAAGGTCCTAATTGCAGCCTTTCTCATTACCGGGGAGTTGCAACAGACTCATGGCTGAACCTCCAGGAAGTTTTCAGAGTCTATAAATCACATGGAAAGAGATTGTTCGTCTTTCTCTTCTTGAGCAGGTGGATTTGAACCACTTGCCTTTAGATTTGCAGGCAGCACAACCTCTTACCCACTAAGTCACTAGAGTTCCCTGATTGTAGCCTTTTGTTGTTATTAGATACCATCGAGTCAATTACAACTCAGTGACCCTCTCAACAACAAATCTGTGCCTTGCCCTCACTTGTGCCATCCTCATGTTTCCCCTATGTTCGAGCCCATGGTTAAGAGTCACTGTTTCAGTCCATCATATTTAGTCACACCTCAGACCAGAAACTTTTTTGAAATGGCAAGTCTTTGCCCCTGACATCTACAGAAAGGACAAATGTTTTGCGTTCATTCAGTCCATCCCCATCGACAAACCACTTGAATAATATTCTGTGTGGCTGACATCAGAAATCTCAAAGTAAACAAACAAGGAAATTCTCCGTGCCCAAATTAAACTACAGCAGAATTAAGATCCTGACCCTGTTTCTAAGGTGATTAAAATTGGTGAAGTCCTGTGAAGGCAGTTTCTGTCTAGCTCAGACCCAGCAGACAAAACATAGGCTTGGTTTGAAACTTCCAAAGTAGAGAGAAGGCATTTCTCTTTTTAAGAAAAAGACATTCCAGAATAAGAACGAAGCTGTTTAAGATTCAGGTAGAACTTTGTGTTGTTTCTAATTTTTCATCCTATCTATGTAGAGCGAATAGCAGTGAAAAAAGCCTTGAGCCTAATCATTGGTCACCAGTTCTCAGGGGATGTTGAAACCCAAGGGATTGTGTTGTGGTGCTGACTGCCCTCTGTGGCTCTTTCAGACCATGTTTTCTACAAGTTCCAGCCGTCTGTGGTCGCTGCAGCCTGTGTAGGGGCCTCTAGGATCTGCCTGCAGCTTTCCCCCTACTGGACCCGAGACCTTCAGAGGATCTCCCACTATTCCCTGGAGCATCTCAGCGTGTGCATTGAGATCCTGCTGGTGTGAGTGCCTCTCCTGAACCTGTGTGTGCCGTGATCTTGAGGGCCTTGCTCTTAAGGCCCAGCTCAGCCCACAGGTGGTTTCCTGAGGTGGGGGAGTTCCGGTGACTACCCTAGTGGAAGCTGTCTCACATACAGTAGACTGTGGTGACTTCAGATAGAATTGGGGGTCAGAGCGTTGGCTATTTGTTGTTAGGGGCTGATGAGTGACTACAACTCATAGCGACCCTCTGAACAGCAGGACCCTCTGAAGCTTACCTTATCTCTGCTCTGTGAACCCCTTTGTTGCAGTCAGCATGTCAGTTCGTCTTGGGGAGGGTCTTCCTCTCTTTTTCTGACCCTCCACCATTCTCACCATTCAAGGATTGCCCCCCCCCCCCGACAACATGCCAGAAGTATGTGATACCTTAAAGGAGCACCCTGAGTGTACTTCTTCAAGACAGACGTGTTTGTCTTTTGGGGCTAGCTTTGCATTGTGTAAGTGAAGAAACCTGCAAGAAGAGTGGCTGTGTGCTTGTCTTTCTAAATGTTTTAGAGCTGAGTCTCAGTGTCATTTTATGGATAACGGTACTGGAGTACCCCCATAGTTACTTTTCTTAGATACGGCCATGAAGCTGACCTCATATCCCAGAGTAGCTTAGAGTAAGAGGCTACTGCCTTCTTGAAGAGGTTCCTGGAATTTGAGGGAGGAAATGTCTAGGATATCAGAGAAGATGCTTAAAGCCATTATGGGTCAACACCGTAAAATTGATTTTGGAGGTGAAAGATCTCAGTGGTGACTACATGTGGGCCGACGTAGGACAGACGCGCTCCTGTGTGACTACAGTCAATCCTTCCACCCAGCAGGGGGCGGCATGACCCAGAGACTAGGCTCACTGGCCGTGGGTGGGGTGTGAAGGGCCCTCAGGACCCTGAAGAGCCTCCTCTCAGTTGCCATCTGTGGGAAGCGTCACGGCCTCTGCCACAGTCCCCTGAAATGGGTTGTGCTCAATAGGTCTTGTTTTAAATGTATGCTTTTCAGAGGCATCCCAGAGACAGAGAACTTGTCTGGGACCTCCTCCCTGAGGCACCTGGCCCTGTCACACTCCTGAATCTCCTCTTCGTCATCTCTGCTGCAGCCCCTCTCTGTGCCTTTCTTACATAGCCCTAGTGTTTTGTGTTCTCTAAGCTTGCCATGCAGCTTTTGGAAGGAGAGAGAAAAGAAAAAAAAATCTGTGCCCTCACCCTCATTTTTCAGTTGGGACCAAGTACTTGCTCGAGACCTAAGGAGTGGTCCAAGGTTGTGATGGTGCCCTGCCACGAAGGATCCAGAAGGCAGAGAGGTGCTCCCTGAGCACACACAGTGTCAGGCACTGGAGGCGCAGGGAGACAGCAGAGCTCACATTCAAAGTGGCTGGGGGTTAGCACCTTGGATGTTGACTGCAGGAGTGGGACATGGAAGGGAGTAGCGACTGCTGACCTAGGAGGTTCGCTGAGCAGAGCAGAATTCAAGCTGAAATATTGTAACATGATCTTAGTCAGTGGACAACCAGGGAACGACTGGACAGCAAGCACAGCTGGGCAGGGTCAGTGGTGACACTCCCTGTATCCTACCCAGCAAAAGGGTTGGTGGGGGGGGGGTGTTTTTGACCTTTAACTCTCATTTGGTCCTTTTCTTTCAGAGCTTATGACAATGTGCTCAAAGATGCCGTCGCAGTCAAGAACCAGGCCTTGGCCATGGTGCCTGGTACTCCTCCAGCCCCCACCCAAGTGCTCTTCCAGCCACCCACCTACCCTCCCCTCAGCCAGCCACCAGGGACCCTGGCCCCGTTCCAGACACCTGTGCAAGACCTGTGTTTGGCCTACCGAGACTCGCTACAAGCCCACCGCCCCGGGAGCCTGCTTTCGGGGGTCACGAGCTCATCCTTGCATGTCCCATACCCCACCCTTCCCCCCCTCGATGTGTGCTCTATGCCCCTCCCAGCATCCCTCAGCATGCAGATGGCCATCAACACTGAGCCCAGTCACTGCCTCGCCACCACCTACGGGGGCAGCTTCTTCAGCGGGAGCCACATGTTCCCCACAGGCTGTTTTGACAGATAGAATATCTTGGGACCACACAGGAGGCCTTGGAGAGCCAGCCGAGAAGAGGACCCAAAAAAGGGAAGCTCAGCAGAGTGAGGCAATGAGAAGCCTTCCCCTCAGAACCTCATGGACCTTGAATGCTGGGAACGTTTGCAGTTTTTAAATACAACCAATCCAGAGTGGACTATCCAATGCCGTACCTCACCTGAGGGTATTCCTCTGAAGCACTGTCTTCCATGTGAACTAGGGTGTGAGGGGATATCTTGGTGGCTGTCCCTTTGAGCAAGGATCTAGTTAACCAGGAAAGGCCTAGCAAGAGGTCAGGACACTGCGACCTGTTCACAGACCACGCATCCATGAGCACATCTGATTTTTAGTGTCAGAGATTTTCTTCACTATTAGCTGATGGCAGCTACGTCGCTGACCATGGAGGGCATCCCAGCATGGTCTTGAACCCCTGGAGAAGGCTTCAGTGGGTGCTCTTTCCCTGGCCCCCTACAGAGGGGCATGTGTGAGAGAGAGAGAGAGAGAGTGTGTGTGTGTGTGTGTGTGTGTGTGTGTGTGTGTGTTTGCGTATTTTTCCTGACCATCTATTTGCCTGTCCAGGCACAGATGGCAGCTGCCTTGCCCTTACTGTTGAACCTGAAACCTAACTCAGCCTTCTAGATACTTTACATGCTGCTGCTTCCTGAAGTGACCTAACATTTTTGTTCAGTAAGACGTCTTGTTTACACACTGTATCAGGGACTTGATGATACTTGAAAATTCCTTAAGAGAAAAAAAAAGTAATCTTTTGATTACCACACTGCTTGCCCTTCAAGTGGCCCATGCTCTCCAAGTTCCTGTGGTCTGGACTGTGGGCTTGAACAGAACCACCTCTTCAGAAGCATATGGTGGGGAGAATGGCTAGTCAGGCTCTTGGTTCCAGATGTTCCCATGTCACGGAACTTTGATAACCACTCAGAGGAGAAGAGTTGAAAGGCAGATGAAAGTTTAAAATCATCCTCACTGCACCTCTGCCTCCTTCCAGCGCCTGGAGCTAACTAACCCTGCCCTTGGTTGTAAGTTTGCAGAATAACTCTGATGTTTGCTAAAATGCCACCTGGATTTAGGAGTAGGGAGTAGACATAGGTATGTGACACAGTCATTGATATGCACACAATCAGGTGGTTGGAAAGCCAGTATTGGGGTGTTTGTCATGTGAAGGCTCTCAGGAAGATTCTTGTAAAACTGTGTGCAATATGTTTTCACCCTGGTAAGCAGCTTGGGCTAGTATGGCTTTTTGGTTGTTTGGGAGTCACGTTTTTCACCCCTCAGAAAAGGAGGTGCAAAGGATGATGAAAGGTTTTTTTTTTAAAAAAAGAAGAATCCATCTTTGTTTTCTGGACTCGTTTGCCAATCCAGGAGGCTGGGGGGGGGGGGGGGGGCAGCTGTGAAAGTGGCCTGCTGCTCAGCTGGTTCTGAAGGTGTTACGGGTCCCTCTGCCTTCTGATGAAGTTGTTCCAAGCAGATGAAAGCCTCAGCACGGAAGCAGGATGACAAACGACGATGCTGTGTGGAGACTTCGGGCTGCCACTTTGTCAAGCTAGCATAGGAAGCCGCACGTTTGTTTGTTCTATTTTTCCTTTGCCAGCCTTTTTCTATTTATGTGTGAGCGGTTTGGATTCCTTGTTATTGTATCTGTCTACACTGGGGCTGGGAGGCTGCAGAGAGGCTCGCCCAAGTCTCCTGGCCCGCCTGGCCCCCAGGGAGAGGTATCCCTTAATAAACACATCACCTGCTCTTTGCACCTCTCTGTTCTCTTCCTGGACTTCTGTCACATCCTCTTCCTCTCCCGGGTCATCCCAGTGTGTCTCTCCATGCTGGGGCAGGGCAGGAGGGTGGGGGCCTGCAGATTGTCTCTGGCAGAGCTGCAGGGTGACACTGTCTTCTGAGTAGAGACTGGGCCTGCTGTGTAGCAGGAGAGAGTGAAACTTCATAACCCAGCCTCACCGTGTCCTGACAGCCAGGAGAGTAGTTGGCTCAATGTCTCTGAGCCTCCAATTTTCCACCTGTGGAAAATACAGTGGAGATGATAGTACGACTTGTATTAGAGGTTCACATGAGAAATAACATGTGTCAGAATGGCTACAAAAAAAACAGACTAGATTCACTACCTTTCTTCAATCATGATGTTTCAGGTGGGAGTAAGGCTGCCAGTTGAATGTGGTGCTTAAGATATAGTTAATTTTTAAGTTGCTTTTTTAATTTCAAAAACATGTTCAGGGCCCAGAGATTTGCATATCCTAAAATTGTAGGAATGTTTGTTTGGGTTTTTTTTGTCGGTGACCATTGAATCCATTTGACTCTCAGTGACTTTAGGGAATGAGTAGAACTGTCACAGAGGTTTCTTGATAGTCTTCATAGAACCTGATTACCGGTCTTTCCTCCCACAGAGTCGCCGGATGCGTTCAAATTGCCACCCTTTCCGTCAGCAGCCACAGGGTTAACCATTGACCTGCTGCAGCGGGTCTTTGGATGGAATATGTTGTTGCTGCTGGTGGTGGTGGTGTTAGGTGCCATAGAGTCCACCACAACTCATGAACCATTTGAACAACAGATCTGAACCTTCCCCCAACCTGTTCCATCCTCACCACCCCCCATATGCTTGAGTCCGTTGTTACAGTCACTCGGTCAGTCCATCTTCTTGAAGGTCTTTCTCTGACTACCCACCTTTCCTGCTATGATGTCCTTTTCCAAGAACTGGCTGCTCCTGTCAGCATTCCCAAAGTACATGAGATGAAGTTTCATCATTATTGCCTGTAAGGAGCACACTGGTTGTGTTACCTCCAAAAACAAGCTGCTTGTTCTTTTGGTAGTCCAGGATATTCAGGGCTATTACTGTGGGTACTGATTGTAGATCCAAGTAAAATGAAATCATTAGCAGTTTCAATCTTTTCTCCACGTATCATGATGTCTAGTAAGGATTTTTGTTTTCTTGATGTTAAGATGTAATCCATATTGAAGGCTGAAGTCTTTAATCTTTGAGTGTCAAAAGTCTTCATTTTGTGCAAGCAAGGTTGAGTTATCTCCATATAATGCAGGTGGTTGATAAGTCTTCCTCCAATCTTGATGCCACATTCTTCTTTATATAGTATGGCTTCTTGAATTATTTGCTAAATATATAGAGTGAATGGTTATGGAGAAAGGACACAACCCTGATGGACATCTTTCCCAATTTTAAACCTTACAGTATTTCCTTGTTATGTTAAGACAACAGCATGTTGGGTTTTGCATGAACACAATTAAGTGTTCTGGAATTCACATTCTTCTCAATATTAGCTATAATTTGCATGATTCACAGAGTCAAGAAGACAAAGATTCTTACCACTAGGCCAAGATTGAGGTTGTTAACAATTACAGCTTGCTCAGCTCCACAATCAACAATCTAGGCACCAGCAGTCAGGAAATCAAAAGACTAATTGCATTGGGGAAAATCTGCTGTCCGGAACCTCGCTAGAGTCCTGAAAAGCAATGATGTCAGTCTAGAGACTAAGGTGCACCTAATCCAGGCTGTGGTCTTCACAGTTACTTGCTATGTATCATCAGAGAGCTGGATAGTCACTAAGGACAACAGAAGAAGAATCGATGCCTTTAAGTTGTGGTGCTGGAGAAGAGTCTTGAACATACCATGGACTGCCAAGAACTGTCTTGCAGAGAGGGTGAAACCATGTTTCTCTTCGGAAGCTAGGATTTTGAAGTTCAGTCTTACATATGTCAGGGAACTGGTCGTTGGAGAAGGATATGCTCAAAAGGGTGGAGGGACAGTGCAGGAGAGGAAGACCTCGGATTAGATGGACTGATACAGTAATAGGGCTATGGAAGTAGGTATCTTGGAATCACTAAGAGTGGCTCAGGACAGGGCAGGTTTCAGAGCTGCTGTACATACGGTTGTTATGAGTCACAGGTGACTCGACAACACATAATAGCAATGCCTTTTCACAATCAAAACACAAACAGCTTTCTGGTATTCTCTACTTTCAACCAAGATCATTCTGACATTAGCAATGATACCCTGATGCCACAGTCTCTTCAATATTAAGATGTGTCCTCGAGTCGCTTGAGACTCATAACGACCCTATGTACAACAGCCCTAAACTCCGCTCTGTCCTATGCCAATCGCACTGTCTCTGACACTCCCATCCCAATTATCCCAGTCACTGAATCAATCCACCTCATAGAGGGCCTTCCTCTCCTGCGCCGTCCCTCCACCCTCCCAAGCATGATGTCCCTCTTCAAGGACCAGTCTCTCCTTACATGTCCAAAGTATGTTAGACGAAGCCCCAGAATCCTTGCCTCCAAGGAGCAGCCCTGTTTAACCCTCTCAAGAATGAATCTGTTTGTTTTCTTAGCAGTCTATGGTACCCTCAATACTCTTCTCCATCACCACAGCTCAAAGGCATCAATTCTCCCTCTGTCTTTCCTAGTCATTGTCCAACTCTCTGACGCATAGCAAGTGATTGCAAAGACAATGGCCTGTATCAGACACACCCTTGCAGAAAGACACCATTGCTCTTCAGTACTTTGGAGAGGTCCCTAACAGCAGACTTTCCCATTGCAATAGGTCTTTTCATTTCCTGGCTGCTGGTGCCAAGAGTGCTGACTGTGGAGCCAAGCAGACTAAAGCTATGAACAATCTTAATCTCTTCACCATCCATCCTGATGCTGCCAATTGGTCCAGTGGTGAGAATCTTTGTCTTCTTGACATTGAGCCTCAATCCATACTGAGGCTGCAGTCGTTGACCCTCTGCAGCAAGCGCTTCAGGTCGTCCTCAGTTTCAGCAAGCAGGGTTGTGTCATCTGCATAACGCAGATTGTTGATAGATCTTCCACCAATCCTGACGCCTCTTCTTTATCTGGCTGAATTTCTGGCAATTCTGTGTCACTGTTTGAATCATCCGCAAGGTTTTGCTTGCATATGATGTTGTTTGATACTTTCCATATTCTGTTGGATCACCTTTTGGGGAACTGAGAGTTGA